TAAATTAAAAGTGGGGGATGAGTACCTGGAATTAATCTTTAGGAAGAGTTCCAGGATTGTTTATAGAATAAGGACTAGATTGTGTGTGAGGCAGGCTGGGCATGGCTGAAATTTAGCTATGAAAGAATAGAGAAGAATAAGGGAACCATTTAAGAGTAAACAACTTGTTAACTGCTATGAAAGTTGCAAAAGTGTCATGGGGAAAATCTGGAGATACTTTTAGAAAGGGCAGACAGTTGATGCCAGTGAGGCAAGACCCAAGTCTGAGACACTGAGAGAATTTGGGTAAGTCTGTCAGGAATTGGGCATTCTCTACCAGTCTGTAACTCGTATTGTCTAGGGACTCTCAAGAGAGAGACAGATGAGACTTACAAGAGATAACCTAGAGGAAGAGATGATGAGGAGAGACCAGAGAAACCTGAGGAAAATGCAGAAGACTCAGAAGAGGCCTCAAGCAAAACACTGGAGAGTAAAAGGGGAGATTATGGGAGTGCCTTGGGAGAAACAGAGGGGACCCTATATCCTTACAGACTACACACAGTAGGGCTGGAACTGCTACACTGACCCTCCTGACTTCTTTCACGGACCATCATGTGGTCTCCCACACAGGACAAGGAAGTTATGTCAGGCACCACTACACTGACCAAACAAACTTCTCCCCTGGACTGTCCCGTGGACCTGGAAGGTCATGTTTCTCATCGTTGGCATCACATATATCCATGTGTAGAGTGTTTTTGAATCTGACTCCATTTAGACTTTGCACTTTCAGTTTAGTCTTCAGCTGAAAAAAACAGCCCTGCGCTTCCTGTTCCTTATTAATTATTTTCAAATGCAAAGTTAAGTGAAAGAATTGTATTAAATCAAAATGAAAGAATCCTGGTTGGTAACTTCATATGGCCAGGATGGGCCGTGTTTTTAACCTGAGTATTATCAGCTCCATCAAAGTAAGGGCCACGTAAACAATGTTTTGGAGTTTTGTTGTCCATTCATAAAGTCCTTTTAGCACAAACATAGTAAATTTTCTCTGCCATCATCTCACTAATTACCTCCCCTAATTAGATCCATTAATTGAGATGCTGACCTGTAAGATTTTGTCACTTGTCTGTTATGTCTGTACATAGAGAATATTCTTATTTCTGTATAACCATAAAATCATTTGGGTTGGAAATTACCCTTAAGTCCACTGAGTTCAACCATTTAACCTAACACTGCCAAATCCACCATTAAACCATGTTCTTAAGTGCCTCATCTTGTAAATACCTCCAGTGACAGTGACTGAATCACTTCCCTGAACAGCCTGGTCTATAATCAACAACCCTTTCAATAAAGAAATTTTTCCTAATATACAGTCTAAACCACCCCTTGAGGCTGTTTCCTCTCATCCTCTCATTTGTTACTTAGAGGAAGAGGCTGACACCCCCGCTCACTACAACATCCTTTCAGGTAGTTGTAGAGAGGGAAAGTTTCCCCCTGACCCTTCATTTCTCCAGGCTAAACAACCTCAGCTCTCTCAGCCCTTCGTCATCAGACTTGTGCTCCGGACCCTTCACTGGCTTTATTGCCCTTCTCTGGACTTGCTCCAGCACCTCAATGTCTTTCTTGTAGTGAGGGGCCCAGAACTGGGCAGAGAACTCAAGGTGTGGCACAACTGGTGACAGAGAACTCAAGCACAGAGATACAATCCCTGCCCCGATCCTGCTGGCCACACTATTGCTGATACAGGCCAGGATGCCAATGGCCTTGGGC